TAAACCCCCATAAACCCACTGAGCTCTCCAAAGTGTTTCTCACAGCTCAGTAATTAACTAAAATGTCAGAGCAAGAACATGACCCTGTGTATTTCTCAAAGGCATGCAATATACACAAAATACAGTTTCTAAATTAAGACTATCCACTAACCAGCCTTCTCAGAATCAGACTTAACAAGTTACAAAGCTTTCTCAGATAATCATTAGACTTTAACCTGGTGAGATATATATTTCCAATAGGCAAATATAAAAATCAATACCTTTGCATGGAATTTGCAGTAAACTGCATTTCCACTTGCATTGATCATTTTAAACGTATGTGATCCATATCCATTCATATGGCGATATCCATCAGGAATACCACGATCGCTGAACAGGAAAGACACCTAAGGAAAAGGATTCAACAATGTTAATGGAATCATCAGTTCATGGATAAAAGTGACCCCGACCTTTCAAGACAAAATAACATTTAAACTAATCTGTATCACTGGAGGTGATATTAGTGTTATAACTTCCTGTAGTAATTTCTAGCTTGAAGATTTTCTAACAATTTAATGAACTAGATAGCTCAGACATTGCACATATAAAAAAAGACATGAATTAAACTTTGTTACACATTATGTCCCAGTGAAGTATAGAACATTAATCCAGAAATAACGTTATGATTTTCTCCTAGAAGCACCAAGAAGCTCGGCACAGATAACCTAAATTACAGATAAAAATGTCATATTTTCAGGTTAAAGACAGAACCTGAAAATTTAAATCCCAAACTACAAGTTCTTAACCAAACTCTTTTTCTTTTCCAATTAGTAACTATTGACAAAAGCTCTGTGTGAGCACTTTAAAAAAAAGCAAAATAAAAGAAAAAATATTTCTAATTTTACACTAGCTTGAAGGAATAAGCAAACAGAAGAATTAAAAGGCATTGTGCCTTCTGGTCCTCTGAGTTGAACTAATGTATTAAACCATACACAGCTTTCATAAGCTGAGATGCAAGAGCCTAACATGCTGATCAGTATTTCTTCTACTTCTGGAAAACTAAGAATACTCCCTTGATTCCTATATAAAATAGATTGTGAAAACAAGAATCCTACACATTTCAGATAAGCAATTCAAAAAGACTAGAAATATAACTAACAGGGTTAGAATTTATTGTAGACCTTTGACCTGCACTGTTCTTAAAAAGTAACAATATTCTAGATGAAACATGAAACAGAAAGAGCACACACGTATGCATTCTCTTAACTTATAATCTTCTTAACTACAGAAGATAAATTCCAAAAAGAACTTTACTTGATGCAGAGACTCAGGGCGAAGGCTCCAGAAGTCCCACACCATATCCGGATCCTTCAAATGAGTCTGAGGATTCCTCTTTTGGCTATGGATGAAGGACGGAAACTAATTTGTCCAGAAGTTTAAAAGAAAAAAAGGAAAACGTCAGCTTCAACAACACCTCCTGAAGTATACTGAATAAGTTCTGATGCAATAATACAAGACAGTTTAAACATTCTCTAATCTACTGAAACAAACTGAGAAATAAGACAAAGCAGTAAGACCAGAAATTTTCCATCATCCATCATCAAATTCAGTGCTGTAATTTTACTAGTTTGACTGTGAAAGGGACCTACTCACAATTAGGATACTAGTTTGTCAAAAGATAGATGAAATGAGGGGTAAATCCTTCTGAATTTGGATATATAAACTTAACTGAATAAGCAACTCAGTTGTACTATATAGATATCCTATATCGCTATTCATCTCTAAAGCAGAGCCTCTCAACATTTTGACTGAACAAAGGGCAGTCAAACTTCTATTAATAGGCAAAAAAAAGATTTCATAGGAACTTTGATCAAATAGTCAAAAAAGCCTAAGAATTAAACAAAGTCTAGAGTAAGAAAAGCTAATTCCAACATTATTGAAACTTAGACTCAAAACAAAAATAATGAGAATGAAATTGCTTGCATACTGGCGCACATCACAGCAGATTACCTGTTTTTCGTACTGCAAATAACTAATCAAGCATTAGCTCTTACAAAATATAACAAACATTTTGAATATCAGCTGAACAACAGACTTAAAGTATGTCAAAAAAGTAACTTTATTTTTGCTTCAGTGAAGCAACAGAGACTTGAATGAGCTTTTGGACTCTTACATAGGTTATCTTCACCTTAGCCGCTTACTTACCAACATCGTATCCCGAATAAAGAAAATAGGAGTATTATTTCCCACAAGATCCCAATTGCCCTCCTCTGTATAGAATTTCATCGCAAAGCCTCGAGGGTCACGAACTGTATCGGCTGATCCAGACTCTCCAGCTTGAAGAAACACATGAACATACACAAGCATTAGGAAGAAAATCCTATACAATATATCCATATTAAACTATTAAGAGGAGAACTTGCATTACCACTAGCAGAGAGAACACTGAATTAAAAGGCTTTATCAGCTAAAAGGCAAAGCCTGCTAATTAGCGTGTAATTCCTAATGTGAAAGCTCTTATTTAGAAGAGCTACATAAATGCTATGCCTCAAAAAGGACAACTAACTCTTACTAGAGTTGTAACCCTTTAAATTCATTTCTTTTTTACCCAAAGCAATTCTTCCTGTGAATAATTTTATACCAGAGGAAAAATGCATACCACAATACACAAGCAAGTTTTCTAGACGTATTCAGGAACAGCTCATGCTAACAGTCATCGTGAAATAATCTAGGACACTCATTTTCTCATAAAACTTCTGTCTACTGTAAAATAGCTACGAAGAAACATGTTCAAACAGAGCAAGCAAAGGTAAAGGGATTCAACAACCTGCGTTAGCATATAATCCATGTATTAAACTCAGCTGCACGTCTTTCCTGCATAGATATATGTACCACAAAACAATAGGTTTTAGTTACCAGTTGGACCAAAAACTGTAGCTCTTTGAACCATCTGGAACTTTACCAATACTATGCCAGAAGTAAGCCTCATTAAGATTTTTTTGCTTCCACATACAAATAGAGTGGTAAGACATTTTAAAACATTTCTCCTAGGTACCAAGTATTGGTGAAAATGTATGTTTTACCCAGCATCATTTAAGATTTTACCATTTAATGTATTCAGCTCTCCAGAAAAAGTAGCCTTTTGGAACACTATTCTTTGCATTGTACTTTCTTAACAGAAAGTATCACTAAGGCATTCCTACAAGAGATAATAGGTCTTGAATTTTCAAGGGCACAGCTGAAGCATGCAAACACCGATCAAGTTTCATCCAGAAATAGACTGGGCTCCCCTCACAACCAAAACCAGCTCAGACTTCCTTTCCAGAGTGAGAGAGAAAGGGTAAACATCTAAGAAGGCTCTTGAATAAAGAAGCAGAACTAGCTCTGAACTACTTAAGGGCTTTATGACAAAATCTGAAAGAGGATTTACTTGGCAAAAATATTAAACTGTACATTAAGTTCAAGATAAATGTTCCACAAAGTAAATATTGATAATTATGATACACGTGAAAAGATACAATATCAGTTTAGGGCCTTACCAACAGTGGAGAATCGTATTGCGATTGGAGTTCTCTTTCCAATGTGTTCAAAAACTTTCGCCTTACAGTATTTAGTAATATCATGAGTCACTTCAAAATAGCCAAAGGCTCCTGTCAAAAGTAATTAAAAAAGATCTATATATTGACCTTTCACTAGAGGGTATCTGTTATTCCACTGCAGTCAAACATAAGTTTTAGTCAAAAGGACAGATGGAAATCCATTAATTTAAACATAGTCTATTCATTAAAACATTTTATATTTGCTTTTCACTTAAGGACATTTACTTAACACAAAAAGCACTGTTTTTTCAGTCCTTCCCCTCCCCATCCTTAACAGATTGTCAGTTCCTGAAAGCAACAGATCTCACTTCTGAGATAAACAGTGGCTTTTTGGAGGCTCCTCTTTCAAGAGTTTCCATACTTATCTCAGATCAAGGCAAATACTTTTTTAATGTTAATCTATGTTGCAGTATTCTTGGTCCATCTTTATGGCAGATGAAGCAAAGTTCTTCCCATCCCTACAATGGAACCTTTCCTCAACACTCGCATTGCAACAAGACTTAGTCTCATTTTCTTGTAGTGCAATTATAGCAAAATCAGAGAAGCCAGTTCTATTCTGCAAGGATCAACCAAAAATTTAAATTGGGTTCTCTAGGGCTGGGGTAAAGTGTTTGTTTCTTCATTTTTTATTACTAGGTATCACCTTGTTTTGACAGATACAAGAGATTATATAGACAATGCATATAACTGATACAGAAAAACTTTTCAGTGCAAGTTTTGTCATTGACCACTGGTATAAAGATGAAGACTAGTTTAAATCTCATCATGAAAAGCAAGTTGCTAGTATATTAACCATTTACTAAGACTTCAGTTATAACAAAGGTTTTCATTACTTCACATACTTGATCCATCAAGCTTTGGATCAAAGATCCCAAAGCTAGTTCTTCTGAAGCAGTCCTTACTTCTTGTTCTCCTCACTATTGTTCATATATAACTACCAACTATCAGCCTAATTCGCCACAGAGAAAAAGGTGTTTTTAAAACATACCTGCTCCTTTTGCATGCACAACCCTTTCAGGAATCCTCTCTCTATCAAAATGGGCCATCTCATCAGTGAAAACAACATCCTGAACAAGAAGAGGCCCACGTGGCCCCGCTGTCAGGATATTAAGCTTATCCCCAACTGGGTTCCCAGAACCAGTAGTCAGGACATCTGGCTTCTGAAAGCAAAACACAGTCAGTATTATGAAGATTAAAAACTGTATACCTTTAAGCCACATCAGGTACATACCTGATCAACAGGTATGTGTCACATGATATACAAAACCATATATACAAAAATAGCACAGGTTTCTGTAACCAGCCACAGAATGGTTTAACTGCCCAGGGCTACTAAACAAGAGTGAAAGTCATGTATAATAGAATACTACTTGTTCAGACATTGTATCTCACTGTTATAAAGTGACTAGTGTAAACCAAGATTCAAGCTTCAGTACAGCCCCCTTTCAGCCTATTTAAAGTCTAAGTCAGTCTGCCAATCAACACTGGCCATCAGAGGGGCAAGTGGAAGAAGAGAAAGAATCAAAGAAAATATTTCCAAGTAGTTGCTGGAAATTAATGAAGGAGAAGAAAGGAGAGGAGGAATAAGACAGTAATTTGGACTCAGGGATGAAGTCAGTGAAAGAGCTATAGACACACATCATAAAGAGAGGTACCCATAACTACCATGGATCTAGAAAAACTATGCAGATCAAAGAACCTAAATAGTCATCTGCAAACCTCTAAAGGACTAGGATTAAAAGAAGCCCTAAGAAATCCTAATATCAAAAAGTCCTGTCCAAAGGACAGTAAAACAGAACACTGGAGGGTTTTTTCGACCAGCATAATAGAAATTGACCAAAATAGTAGTACTCATTCCTTTCTCCTTCCTCGAATATTCAGTCTAATTTAATCATCTTTGAATGCTAATTAGAACTGCAGCACAGAAGGCAGGATTAACCCCATACCTAGAAAAATAACCACTCCCCCCCAAAAAAATCCCAGAAACTTCTGTTGGGATTCCATAGCACTGTGGCCACAACATGCCATAATACTGAGTCTATACCCACTTTCTGAAAATTATTTTATCTGCATTATGTACCAGCTCAGTCACCCCTTTAAGACAACAGTCCTGTTTTGCTGGGTATTGTGTAAAACATGGAATAGAAGGTATATAAACTCTAGAAATGATGTCCAAAGTAAACGAAAAGAACACAGTATAAGTTGACCGATCAGAACTATTGCTGCAGACTTTAATTGTTTCTGGAGTACTTTTTAACTGCTTAGGGTAAAGTGATACCAAAGAATTGAGCAGAAGTTAGAAAGAGCAAGCAAGAGCTTGCAACAAGATGAACACAAATACTCAATTGTCAAATTAACATTAAATCCACAGTTATATGTATCATTAAACTGACACACTCTCCACCCATACTATCACTAATTCATCCCCTACCAACTCCTGGTCCTTCTTATGAAGTAATACAAATAAAAGGGGGAAGGACACAGAAAATTAACTGTTGCTGAGGAGACTTTCATTACTGGCTAGGAGAATTTGGGGTCTCAAGTTTAATACTGACAGCCTGAATCCTTTATTTAAGGGTTTTAATCCTCCCATTGTAGACTGGGAAGTTTCCATACTATTTAATTGAAGGATATACTGGATACAACAAGCCTCCAGGTAGCATATATGGCAGAAGGGATTTGCTTGTTTTTTTTCGTTTGTTTTTAAAATGGTAAGTTACAAGACAAGGGAAACAACAACAGTTTATACCTATACCCAACCAGTGTTTTGAATGAGTAACACCTTATAGGAAAAGACAGATCACCTTTACTTAGCTCTGGTACATTAAAAAAACAAGTAATAGACAGTACCTGACATAACTGAATTTTCAAAATGTTCTTATAAAATACATACTATTATAGTTGGCTTGAATTTCAAAAATAATGAGGTGCTTTATCCTTCATGCAACATTTCATTTGAAATAAGCATAAACTTAGCTCCTATATTACTTCAGGATGTTCAAAAGCCAAACCTATATTGAACTTTGTGCAAGCATTTGCAAAAGACTATATACACTCAGTTATGAACAAAAACACTACAGAAATTCAGACACTTACAGGGGAGTTACAGTTTCAGCCACAGTTGAAGCATTCTTAAATCATCCATTTGAATCATTAATTTGAAAATATTATCCAACTGTGAGAAGGGTGTGAAAGCAGCAGTTGTTCTCCCTATTCTTTCTACCACTTCCGTATCACTTGCTGGAAAGTTTCCTGTCTCATTTTGCTTGGGTTTCAATGAGCCAAAGAAAGCTATTTCAGTGTTCTGTTTAAGAGATCACCTAGTCAGACCACATCAGAAGTTCTCCCATTCTGAGTTAGCCTAAGATTTCAACCCCTTAAAACAATATGCTAATATCAAAAGTCCCCTACAACTGAGCACCATTAAATATTTCTGTTTTGTTCTGTATGCTTTAGCTATGACTTTGAATTAGATATTGCTTAAGAGGTCAAAATAACTGACTTTAAGTACTAATAAAAACAATTTCATATATTTACTCAAGTAAAAGAACACCACCATTTTCAAAGAACTTGAAGTTTAGGAAGAACTCATTCATCCATCCCATGGATCAGTCAATATAAAAGCATTTTACCTCAAGAATTCACCCAGAACAAATTAAAGCAACTGGAGTATCAGCTCATTATCTCAACATATTTATACAGTTGCTTTCTGTACTGAGGTAGGAAAAGTTCAAGCGATCACTCTCGAAACTCATCCTTAACTCTGTTTTAAAGAGCCCTTTCTTAGAAGGAACAGTTTACAAGTGACAAGGCTATAAATGCACACACAATATTTTTAATGGAACTTTTTGGCCATTAAACTTTTTGGAGTTTGTTTAGAGGACCATGTTTTTCCTTGTATTCAGCTCTCAGAACCACTGACTTCTTCCTTGACTTTCACTAGTTTTGGTAATTAAAAGTTTAAAATTTCTTATAGTTAGAGAAATGCATTAGTTTTCCTAGGTAAAATAATCTTCTTTTTAATACTAATGACTGTCATACTTGTATGACAAAGTTAAACTTTGCAATGTGATGAAAAACAATGCATCACATGAAAGGCAACCTAGGATTTTGCATTTTCCCAGCCTCCTTGCTACGTCATTCACTACAGACATTTCCATCTTTCCCACCTGTTCTACACAAACATAAAAGCTTCATTTTCTTTCTCATTGTAATGTAGCCTGTGACAGTGCAGCATAAGAATTGTCTATACAGTAGAGAATCATCTACAAATTCTGAACACTAAAGTCCTTAGAGAAGCAAACTTGGGAATTGCTCTTTCAGAAATGGGACATAAAACATTCAAAATCCTCAAATCCATAGTAATTTTAAAGGGACTTATATTTATGTCATCTTAAGGCAAAGACCAAGGTACACCCATTCCACAGAAGCTGTATTAAACAAGAACTCCAGGGTCAACAGGGCTCTAAGTAACCCAGCATGTTTCATCAAACACCAGTAGAACTCTCATGCATATACATACACCTGTACCTTCTGCTTTACAAACCCCTTGCAAGGGCATGGTAAGAGACAGACCAGAAGGGAAAAACATTTAGCCCTTGTTTTAAAAAGCTGCTTTTAGTTCACCTCCCCTTATAAAAAGCTTCGGTGTAGTTATCTCAAGGGAGAGGGAAGAAAAAAGAGGAAAAAAGGCATAATGGTTTTAAAATAGGTATACAGAGAAGAATGAAGGTTTGTAAAGGTAAGAGAATCCTTTTCAAATCAATATGCTCTCCTGTTGTCTGAAAGCTACCTTTTCCTGCAATGTTATCACCTACAACTAGAACAAAGTAGCTACCAATCACAATTTCTGAAGCTAGAGCCATTAAAACTAAGAGTTCTATGGATGTACACCATCTCCTACAAGCACAGTCAGACCTGCTGAAAGGATCTTTGTGCATGTTACCATTAGAAGCACAAACTTCCCCCCCCCACCAAATTGCTAGCTTCACATGCTTCAGTTTCAGGATAATAATTACACAGGGCATACAAAATTAGTTTTATCAGCACATAGGGAAAGGGAGAATACTAATTTTAGAAAGAATGCTCATACGCCTTCAGCTTTAAATTTGTATGATGGCTACATTTTCATATGGTTGGAAACTGCAGACAGTCAGAAGCTTAGAAGATAACAACTCTCAAATCTGCATGTTTATTTTATTAGAGCACCAAGGTCCTGTGACAGAGAGGAAAGGGAAGCACAGCCAAGAGAAGCTGGGCCGCTGCCGTAGTAAACACCATACATCAAAGTACCTACTCCCAGACATGGCTGGTACCTTGTACCTAATACAATCACTTTAAAATTCTGATCAGCCTTCCCTAATTCCTGTCCAAAGGTCTCATGACTCCTTGTGCAACACAGTCTGGATTGCCTCCCAGTCTAACTTGGCCTATGCATAAACACTACTCTAGTCCAAATGTCAACTTTTCTGTAACAAAGTGTTATTCAAAGTACAGAGACACCAGCAGCATTTTATGAAACTCACTGGAATGATATGATGTAGCCCCGATTTGTATCTCCATAGGTAAACTTCAAATCACTGGAAATGTAGTTTTCATACAAGGCCTTCCAGAACACAGTAAACTAGCTAACTAAATACATACAGCAGGAGCCAAGTCATTCATCACTTCTATTTCCTAAGACAGGTGCTCAGCATAACCAGAAGAAATAGTGCTTCATTCCTGACACATGGTCCCACGGGACACTATATAGTGGTAACTGACAGGAGTAACTATACAGCAACCTGAGAAAGGGGAAGGGAAATCGACTAATGACACATTTATTTGTTTACCCAGATATATTTAACTCCACACATTTAAAAGATCGAAATCACAATCACACACAAGCCACAGCATGACACTCATTAACCTCTTGCAGCAGCAGATGAGCAACCACAGGGAGGGAAACGCCGCCAGCACCTTCCCCGCGCCAGCTCGATCCGCCGTGTAAAAACAGCGTTCCCCCGGCTTCCCGAGCGCTACGGCCACGACAGCGGCCCCATGAGCGCGGCCCGCGGCCGGGACAGCGGGCCCCGCGCAGCGGCGGCGCCCGG